TATATTCCCAGGAATAAATAATTCCAAGACATAATTTATAAATACTTGAAACAAATATAGGAATGCAAAAAATTAAGGTTACATTCCTGAGAATAAATTTGGAATCCATGAAACAAACACCCCAAAAGGATTTATGACTCTGGTTTATGAAACTCAAAGTTATAATCAAAAGAATAAGTAAACCAGAAACAACAATTATGCAGTGAAACAAACCATAATTCAACAAAACAAAAACTGCCATCAATATTTAAAAAAATGCTGCAGCATGAAACTTCTGTAGTTGAAAAGAGCACGGTGTGCAGAGTCCAGATTAAGAGAAAAAAAATCAACAATAACGATAAATTGATTCATCCCCACAAAACAAAATTCGTCATTAACATTAATATTATACCACTACAACAATTTCATAAACTAATTCAACGATTCACTGAGAAAAAAAAGTAGAAAAGGGAAACAAGGGTTACATCAAGGTATTCTTTAGCATCTCGTGGCTGAGCAAGATCACAGTAAGAAACAAGCCCTTTAATAATCTCTTCATCCAAACCTAACCCTAAACCCGTCTCAATCTTCGAACACAACTCCACCAACGCCGTCTCCAGCCACTCTCCCGCCGATTCCATCTCTCTCTCTCTCTCTCTCTCTCTCTCTCTCTCTCTCTCTCTCTCTCTCTCTCTCTCTCTCTCTCTCTCTCTCTCTCTCTCTCTCTCTCTCTCCTTCTCTCCTTCTCTCTCCGCCGCTACAAAAACATAAATTTCAGTTTTGCACTTCGCATCCAAACACCATTCGTATCTCGCCACGTGGCTCCTATTTAATGACACGTGGCAATCGTTTCCCCAAACAAAAACAAAACGCGTCGTTTAGTTTTCATTTTCATTTTTCAAATTTCATGTTCCATTTGCAAAACAAACCTGAAAACTGAAATTCAAATTTCATGTTCCATTTGCAAAACAAACCTGAAAACTGAAACACTGTTGGAATGATTCGTGCGTTGCTTCCTAAACATGTTGCAGCTGTAGTGAAAGTCCAAAAAGACCCTCTCAAAGCGTTGGAAATTTTCAATTCAGCCAAAACCGAACAAGGTTTCAACCACACTCTCTTCACCTACAAATGCATGCTTCAAAAGCTTGGTTTCCATGGCAAATTCAACGAGATGGAGAATCTTCTCTCTGAGATGAGATCAAAACTAAACAACACGTTCTTGGAAGGAGCTTACGTTGAAGCCATGAAACTCTACGGAAGAAAAGGAAAAGTTCAAGAAGCTGTTGACACATTCGAACGCATGGATTTATACAACTGCGATCCCTCTGTTCATTCGTATAACGCTATCAAGAACATTCTTGTTGAGTTTGGTTACTTCAACCAGGCTCATAAGGTTTACATGAGGATGGTTGATAAAGGGGTTGAATCAGATGTGTACACATACACCATAAGGATTAAGTCGTTTTGTAGGACGGGTAGGCCGCATGCTGCTCTTAGGTTGCTGAGGAATATGCCTTTGTTGGGTTGTTTTTCAAATGCTGTTGCTTATTGTACTGTTGTGGCGGGGTTTTATGAAGTTGATGATAAAGTGAAAGCACGCCAGATGTTTGATGAAATGCTTGAGTGTTCTTTGTGTCCTGATGTTAGTACTTTTAATAAGCTTGTTCATGGTTTGTGTAAGAAGGGGCTTGTTTTGGAAAGTGAGAAGCTTCTTGATAAGGTTTTGAAGAGAGGGGTTTCGCCGAATTTGTTTACTTTTAATATCTTTATACAAGGGCTTTGTAAGGAAGGTTCTCTTGATAGGGCTGTTAGGTTGTTGGGCTGTGTGTCGGGTGAAGGTTTGAGGCCTGATGTTGTAAGTTATAATACAGTTATATGTGGGCTGTGTAGGAATTCACGAGTTGTTGAAGCGGAGGAATACTTGCATAAAATGGTTAATGGTGGATTTGAGCCGAATTGTTTCACTTATAATAGTATTATTGATGGATACTGCAAGAAGGGGATGGTGGCGGATGCGAATAGGATTCTGAAAGATGCAGTTTTTAAGGGTTTTAAGCCTGATGAGTTTACGTATTGTTCGTTGATTAATGGTTTTTGCCAGGATGGTGACCCTGATCAGGCATTGGCTATCTTTAAGGATGGGCTAGGTAAAGGTTTAGTGCCAAGTGTTATTGTTTACAATTCTTTGATTAAAGGTATGTGTCAGCAGGGACTGATTTTGCCGGCTTTGCAATTGATGAATGAGATGGCAGAAAATGGTTGTCACCCTGATATATGGACTTATAATGTAGTCATAAATGGCTTGTGCAAGATGGGTTGTTTATCTGATGCTAATCATTTTATAGACGATGCTATAGCCAAAGGGTGCATCCCAGACATATTTACCTACAATACTTTGGTTGATGGCTATTGCAAACAGATGAAGCTAGACAGTGCAATTGAGTTGGTCAACAGAATGTGGAGTCAAGGTATGACTCCTGATGTTATCACATATAACACTTTGTTGAATGGGCTCTGCAAGGCTGCAAAGTCCGAAGAAGTAATGGAGATTTTCAAGGCAATGCCAGAGAAGGGATGTGCTCCAAACATAATTACGTATAGCATTATCATAGAAAGCCTTTGCAAATCTAAGAAGGTAAATGAAGCTGTAGATTTGCTTGGGGAAATGAAAAGCAAGGGCTTGGCACCCGATGTTGTTAGTTTTGGCACATTGATCACCGGGTTCTGCAACATTGGGGATCTTGATGGTGCTTATCAGTTATTTAGAGGGATGGAAAAACAATCTGATGTTTGTCATACAACAGCGACCTATAATATCATAATTTGTGCATTTTCGGAACAACTCAATATGAAAATGGCCGTAAGACTCTTCACTGAGATGAAGAAAAATAGCTGTGACCCAGACAACTATACTTACAGGGTCATAATTGATGGCTTTTGCAAAACGGGAAATGTTACCCGTGGATACAGTTTTCTATTGGAGAATATTGAAAAGGGATTTATTCCATCACTGACAACATTTGGACGGGTTTTAAATTGTCTTTGCGTGGAACACAAGGTTCAAGAAGCAGTTGGTATCATCCACCTTATGGTCCAAAAGGACATTGTCCCAGATACTGTTAATACAATTTTTGAAGCTGATAAAAAGGTGGTAGCAGCACCTAAGATTGTTGTAGAAAATTTGTTGAAAAAGGGACATATAACTTATCATGCCTATGAACTACTATATGATGGTATTAGAGATAAATCGATACTTAAGAAAAGAAATCCAAACTGGAATTCTCTTCGCCGTGGAGCCAGGTCAACAGCTGTTGATTAGAAGATAATATCTTTAAAAAATTAGGATTCCTAATCATATGCTCGTTTCAAGGACGTTTGTTGCTTCCAGTAGACAACTTTTATTTCGGCAGGTATTTTTCCTATTTATAGTTATAGAACTGATTCATAAATCGTTGAAAGTTTGTTCACTTTTGTTATATTAATTTTCACATTTCATGAAAGAACACTACCTGATTTCAGGTGGTATTCATACATTTTCTTCTACACCACATAGTGAAGTGAAATGTCTCTAGCAAATATGTTTAGAAAATGTCGATTCGAAACTAGTTTCCAACTCACTATTGTGAATCGCATGACTTGCGAACATGAAGAATTTCCTGTCAGCTAGTGTTTGGTTTGTCAATAGGGTGGGTGCTTTCAAGCCCAATGTTGTCAAGATCACATGAAAGTCGTCGAGCTCAAGCCTATTGACTGCAGTATGTGGATATGTCAATAATGATATGACCAATTTCTTTGTAAGTAACTCAAAAAAATATCAATTTCAGGACGAAGGTTTGCAAGTTGCAATTGACTGTCACAATGGTAGACGTGAAGAATGAGGAAGAACGACACTTCACCCATACTTGCATCTTCACACAGAAGTAAGATAGGTGCTAATTTCATGGCATTCAGTCTAGGTTTCTTTAGCATCAGAATTGCAAATATAATCTGTGTTTGTGTAAAACTAATGTAAGCTTCTTTTGTTACCAGAAAAAAATAATGTAAGCTTCTTTTAAGTTTTCATGACACGTGTAACTGTTGATGATAGAATTTTAATTTTAGACTTGGGAAGTATACCCTCCCCATTAATTCATAGCCTTCAATTTCCTCATTCCTATTTTCCTTTTTATATTGGCAGGTTTACTCCCCCATACAGAACCCAGAATGGTTTTTCTTCAGAGATATCAGACCAAATTTGCATCATCTTCATGTCAAAATGATACTTTTGCGTATTTGCAACTTGCAAGAGAAACATGATGTGCATTGTCTTGATGTCAAAACACGCTACTTCTTTCAGATTGTTAAAAAAGGTTCTGAAGATTCGGAAAGAGCTGCTGGCATCAAGTAGCTGTGAAAAATATGCCTCTTTCTGTATAATTGAAACTGGTAGAAACTCATGTGTATTTTCTTGTATGTATTTAAGTTATTTAAAGCAGTTCTTGTCTAATCTATTTGTGATTTAGGTGATCATCTCCTTTCCTTTACTACCTCTAGAAAAAAGGATAACCATGAAAGGGAGAAACAAAAACAACTTATCTTAGCTTAGGGCATTAGCTGGAACTTTTCCCCCTGTTTGTATAACCAAATTTATAAACATGGATTTTAAGCAAGAAATATTTTATAACATTAAATTTCCACTCTTTAAATTATTTCAATTTTTAGTAAAAGAAATATTTGTTCAAGAAAATGACTAATTACATATGTTTGAATTATCACCTAAGATGACTTTTATCTTTTTAATATATTATATGTAGGTCATACTAGAGACACTAAAATACAATTCTCTGCATATTATAATGATGAATTTGAACTTAAGGAAATTTTTAAGAAATTAAAACAAAACCGCAATAACTAACCAGCCTCGCTTGAGCGCATTTATTATTTAAAAATAGTTTGATATTCCGATCCCTCCATAGAGTGGTGGTAAGTAGGAGAAATTAGTTGTTTAAAAATAGAGGCGTGGCTGGGGAGCAAAGGTAGGAATGAAGAAGGAAGAAGTTTTGGTTTCATTGATGAACAAATGCAGCACCACCCTCAAAACATCCAAGCAAATTCACGCTCATCTCTACGTTACAGGCCTTCACACTCATCCCTTCTTCTTCGGCAAACTCCTTCTCCAATGCGCAACCTCCATCTCCGACCATGCTCTCCAGTACACCCTCCGTCTCTTCCATCACTTCCCCAACCCCGACACTTTCATGTACAACACCCTCATCCGTTCACTCTCTCATTCCCCTACCCCTCTCACTTCCATCCAACCCTTCATCCATTTACTTCGCCACCCCACTCTCATCCCGGATAGCTTTTCCTTCGCTTTCGCACTCAAAGGGGTTGCTAACTATGGTTTCTTGAAGAGACAAGGGATTCAGCTACACTCTCAGGCTTTCCGTCATGGACTTGAAGATCATATATTTGTTGGAACAACTTTGATTAGTATGTATGCTGAATGTGGGTGTTATGGGTCTGCAAGGAAGGTGTTTGAGGAAATGTCTCAACCGAATGTTGTCGCGTGGAATGCTGTTGTTACTGCTTGTTTTAGGGGTGGCCATATGGAGGGTGCTTGGGATTTGTTTCAAAGGATGCCTATTAGGAATTTGACTTCTTGGAATGTGATGCTTGCGGGTTATGTTAAAGGCGGTGAGCTTGGGTTTGCAAGAAGAGTTTTTTCTGAAATGCCCATGAGAGATGATGTTTCTTGGAGTACTATGATTGTTGGGTTTGCGCAAGGTGGGTCTTTTGATGATTCTTTTGGGCTTTTTAGGGAGTTGCTGAGGGAGGGAATTAGGCCGAGTGAGGTTAGTCTCACTGGGGTTTTATCGGCTTGTGCGCAGGCTGGGGCCTTTGAGTTTGGTAAGATTTTGCATGGGTTTATGGAGAAAGCTGGGTTTCTTTGTATTGTTTCGGTTAATAATGCTCTTATTGATACTTACTCCAAGTGTGGAAATGTTGATATGGCTAAGATGGTCTTTCAAAATATGTCTGTTGTGAAGTGTATTGTGTCTTGGACATCTATGATAGCAGCATTTGCGATGCATGGTCGTGGAGATGAGGCTATTCGACTTTTTCATGAAATGGAAAAGTCTGGAGTTACACCGGACGGTGTCACGTTCATATCTCTTCTTTATGCTTGTAGCCATAGTGGTTTGGTTGATCAAGGGTGTGCTTTGTTTTCTAAGATGAAGGATTTGTATGAAATTGAACCTGCCATTGAGCATTATGGTTGTATGGTTGATCTGTATGGTCGAGCTGCTAGGTTGCAGGAGGCTTATGAATTTATATGTCAGATGCCAATTTCGCCTAATGCAATCATTTGGAGGACCCTCCTCGGGGCTTGTAGCATTCATGGTAACATTGAATTGGCAGAGCTTGTGAAAGCAAGGCTTGCTGAAATGGATCCAAACAACTCTAGTGACCATGTACTGCTCTCAAATGTTTATGCGGTTGCAGGGAAATGGAAGGATGTTGCTGGCATAAGAAGAGCAATGATTGAGAAGAGCATGAAAAAAACTCCTGGTTGGAGTATGATTGAAATTGATAAGGTCATTTATGGTTTTGTGGCAGGTGAAAAGCCTAACGAGGTTACCGAAGAGGCCCATGATAAACTGAGAGAAATAATGTTGAAACTCAGAACAGAAGAAGGTTATGCGCCTCAGGTAAGGAGTGTTTTACATGATATTGAAGAGGAAGAAAAAGAAGATTCAGTATCCAAGCACAGTGAGAAGCTTGCGGCAGCTTTTGGAATAGCAAAACTTCCTAAAGGAAGGGTTTTGAGAATAGTGAAGAACCTGAGAGTTTGCGGGGACTGCCATACTGTAATGAAGCTGATTTCTAAAGTTTATCAAGTAGAAATCATTGTGAGAGATAGAAATCGCTTTCACTCATTCAAAGATGGATTTTGTTCCTGCAGAGATTACTGGTGACAGAAGCTAACGATTAGTTGACTTGAAATTTAACAATACAACTTCTGGTATCATTCATTCAAAGTACAGGACACCTATCGGAAGTATTCAAAAAAAGTGAAAATGATGTAAAGCAATGCCATAAAAGCTAAATTACATCAATGCCATAAAAGCTAAAGAGGAACAACGCGATAATTGAGGTGTTCAACATGTAATTACAGGCACAGTCACAACACAATGAATTTTCAAAACCTGTCTTGACCTAAAGAAAATGAGACTGCACCTACTACCAATCATTCATGAAAAGTGCCGAAAATGCCACAACCACAGTCATATCACATCAGTAATTATTTCTCCAACAGGTGAACAATTAAATGTATGTGGATTTTGACTTGTTTTTGAAGTAACTTGGACAAACATGATTTTAAGGTAAGGTAGGGTGGCTAGCAACTTTAAACATGCTTGCTCTGAACATGTAGAGGATGTTTGTGCAGAAAGAACAACTACAAATCTCAAGGAGAGTGAACTTTGTGATTAAAGTCACTTTCTAAAATGGAAGTGTGAACTTTCTTCCATTAATGACAATTTGGTTTGGATAATGGTTCAATCACTTGGATAATGATACAAATATTTGTGCAAACCATTAATTATGGAGTGAAACATAAGTTAGAAGCCTGGAAATCAAGATTATGCAGCATGGCTTATGGATTTGGTCAAGTGTTCTTCATGAAAAATGTCTTGTAATTCAAGTTTGAAACTCTAACTTCATCTCTTCGATTCTCCTAACTCAAGAATGACCTCAATAAGCTCTTGGACATTTTGGAAAACTTGGAACATCCTCTACAACCTTCCTATTTTTCATTTTTGAAGAATCAATTTGGAACCATGTGAAAAACTGCCATGAAGTTAGGTCAAAAATCTTCCTAAACTAGGTCAAATTTTCAGTAAGTGTTTTTTTTATAAAAAATGCATGACTTTGTGAATTTATAACTCAAGATCCAAGCATTTCTAGGATTTGATCAGTAAAGCAAAGTTGTAGATGATCTTCAACTTTCATGTTGAAAATTTTCTTTGAATCATCTTGCATCTTTGTGAGAAGTTGGCATGAAGCCATGAAAAAATAAGACTTAAAAACACTTAGAAAAATTCTAAGTCTTGGAAAGTTTGACTTTTTAAGATGAATTTTGACTTTCTTGATTTCTTGATGATCTTTGAAACTCAACTTTGATCAAAAAGTCAAAGTTTAACTTTTGGTGTATCAGTTGACTTTTCATTAGTTGATTGAATTTCAACTATCAATCAATTGATCTTGAGAAATGAATTGAGATATGCAATTAGGTCAAAATGATGCATTTGAATCCTTGAGGTCATGTTTCAAACCAATAAGTCATGTATTAGGTCAAAAGTCAAAGATTAGCCATTCTCAGTCAAAACCCTAATTTTGACCATTTTCCCCTTTTGGTGATTTGAACAATTTTCTTGAGGAATTGTGATCCAAACTTGATCAATTGATACATATGACCTCAAAATATTGATATTGGTCTAAAATTTTGAAGTTTGACTATAGGTTGACCACAATTGACTTTTTACCCAATACAACTGATTTTAGGTCATCTGATCAATTGACTGAGCAATTTTTGTGATCCAAGACTTGAAACTTGACATGAACAATCTTGAGGCTCCATAATGGTCCATGAAAGTTATTTGAATTATTAGAAGTCCAATTGTCCTTGTGCAAACTCAAACCCTAATTTGAGGTATCAGTGTTGAGGATATGGCTTGACCTAGTCAACCCTTGTGCAAGCTTGAGCTTTTGAAGATCTTTGTGAGAAATGTCTTGAGAAAAGAGAGAGAAATTTTTGGGGTACAACAATATGGAAAGACTAAAACGAATCGGTAGATAACCCTAACTGTAAGACTAAAAATAATTGAACATAATACACTTCACACACTCACACCTCTAGGGTAACCTCCCTTGTTGCCTTCGGAAAATAACAGTCATGTCCCTCGAAAGTGGGGAAGATTTAGCAAAGTCCCTCAATATAAATATCATAGTCCCTCGATGACCCTTCGACGTTGCCTTTGGTAAATGATCTAGACCCTTAATGATAATTGCTAAAGCCTCCCTACTAGTTACCTTCGATAATTGTACGATGATCCACGTCTTTCCCTTTACATCCAACGATAGAGATTCTTACCAACTAATGGTACGAATAGCACTATATAAAGGAGAAGGAAAGTACAAGAAAAACCTTTGAGTAGGTAGAACGTTGTTAATCACTTGCTCACAAAAAACGAACACATTTCTCATAAATCACACTTTTCAAAATATTTTCACACAAAGACTTTGTACGCATTCTCGAGGACATATACGAAAATCATTACGAAGTCTTGTCTCACATTGGCATTTCAAAATATTTTACAAACACACATCACAAAGCAATTTCAAAAAGTGAACTAAGCGATTAAGAGCTCGTAGATAACTACAGATGAAAAGGGTGCTAACATCTTTCCTTTTCATAGCCTACCCCCGAACTCAAAATCAAAAAAGGTTTTTCCTGTTCTTTTCACCCTTTCTTTATTGGATAAAAGAAAAGTCGATGGTGACTCTTGCTATCTGCAACATTTGTGATAAAACGCGAAATAAGTCAGTTCTCCCACCGTATTATAGTGGTTTGTACAGTGGCAGAGATACTTAGGGTTTTTCTTTCTCTTCTACCTTTGTGCTTTCATCTCACTTATCATCTTCTTTTGGTTCGTCTTCTTCCTCAGTTGGTTTACAAAGTGCTCTGGTACATGGCTAGACTTTTGATTCTTGGGTCAGTCGGTTCTTCTACTTCCGTTCCACTTCGAAGTGTTATTGCATTAGCATGACCTTTCAGATTTTGTTGTGGTTGGCCAGAAAAAGTGCCAGCTGAAGCAGCTGGAGCCGCTTGTTGTTGAGCCACTTGAGAGATTTGCGTTTCAAGAATTTTTTTAGGGGCAAGGGCATCAACCTTATTTGATAGTTGCTTTATTTTTTCACTAGTGTGTATGTTTTGATTCAGAAAATCTTTGTTTTGTTGAGCTTGAGTGGTTACGAAATTTTCTATCATGATCTCTATATTAGATTTCCTAGGAACATTTGGAGTAATTTGGGCGGCTTTCTGGTAACTTAGGGGTGTTGTAGGAACTTGTCCAGGTGGATATAATGAATTGTTGTTCTTGTACGAAAAGTTAGGATGATTTTTTCAGGTAGGATTATAGGTATTCCCGTATGGGTTTCCTTGAGCATAATTCACTTGATCAACTGGTACTCTTGTTAAAAGTGGACATTCAGGCGCAACATGTGTGTGAAGTCTGCATAAATCGCATGTTGGAGCTACTGCAGCCATGGTGGTTGCGGAAGTTGTGGTCAAGTTTTCTATCTTTTGGGTAAGAGCTTCTACCTTAGTGTTAACTTGGTCTAAACTGCTAACTTCGTACATACCGCCTTTCGTCTGAGGTTTCTCTACAACGGTTTTATCGCTTCTCCACTGGTAATGGTTTTGAGCCATACTTTTGATAAGTTGATAAGCGTCAATATAAGGTTTGTCCATTAGTGCGCTGCCAACTACAACGTCAATCGTTAGTCTTGTATTGTACAAGATACCATTGTAAAAGGTGTGAATGATCAGCCATTCTTCTAGACCATGATGTGGACAAAGTCGTAACATGTCTTTATATCTTTCTCATGCTTCCAAGAGAGATTCACTTTCCTTTTGTTTAAAACCATTGATATCGGCTCTTAGCATAGCCGTTTTACTCAGTAGAAAATATCTTGCTAGCAAAACTTTCTTTAATTCGTTCTATGTGGTAACAGAGTTGGATAGTAGAGAAAGGAGTCAGGCTCTAGCTTTATCTCGTAATAAAAAAGGGAAAAGACGAAGTCTTATCTCTTCGGGGCTGACACTATTTACTTTTACTATGTCTGCGTACTGCACAAACACAGATAAAAGTAGATTCAGATTATCCGTAGGATATCCTGAAAACTGATTTTGTTGGACAACTTGTAATAACAAAGGTTTCAACTCGAAATCATTTCGAGCGATAGCGGGGAAAGCAATGTTGTTGTGAGGTTCCTCTTGCGATGGGGCAGCATAATCCTTCAGAGGACGATTTTTGGGTCCTTCGGCCATTCTTGGTTCAGGAAGAGATAAATTGGGAAGATTGAATTCGGGAAGATTGTACTTAATTTGGTATTCTCTAATTCGGTGTCTTATACTAACAAAATGCTCGACCTCTTCGATTGGTTGCTCTAGTTCTTCTCCTTGAGAGTGAGTTCTTGGCATACAATCAACAGATAAAAAGGAAATAAAATTGGTTGCCTTAGTCTATACTGCATAACAAAGGATTCACAATATCGACTAAATCAGTTCCTGGCAACGGTGCCAAAAACTTGATCGCGACTTTAAGAGTCTATCGGGTGTATTAACTGCAAGTGCACAGTTTAATCGCGTAGTTTTAAAAGATATCGAACCTACATGGACTAGTAATCGAATTATTATTATCTAAAGTTATTGTGTAAAGCTAAAGCTAATAAGTCTTAGGTTTTGGGGTAGACGAAAAATAAGGTTAGACTTAATTGAAATATTTAATAATGGGACACCAACACGTAATAGTATGACTTCGAAAATTCAGTAATTCATTGGCATAGCTTTGAGTATTCAAAACACTGTTTAGTAGAAACTATCAGTCTAAAAGCCTTTATCTCACACTCTCGTGATTGTTGATTCAAATTATATAATTAAACTTAAATGCTTGCTCTCACTGTCTCATTTAAAATCCAAAAATACTCTTTGAAAACAAATAGAGTTTAATTAATCGTAAACTACTCTCGCTGTATTCAAAATTAATATTTTATTACCACTATCCGATTAGAAACTCACACTCTCGTGATTATTGGTTTTAGCCTTAGTCTGTCTCTTACTCTCGTAACAAAACAATGTTATATTGAAATTTGGAAACCAAACCAGAAATGTATTTTTATAAAATATTTATGC